GCACTCCGAAATGGCTGGGAGGGAAGGGGAGAAGTAGAAAGCACAGGGCTCTGGTGCCCCAGTGTGCAAGAGGCGCATGGGGAAGTGGGGCAGACAGGGGCTCCACAGGTTGCAGGATGAACCCCAGTGGGCTGCAGGCTACTATGGTCCACTGAAATGAAGGAGGGACACTCACTATTCTTGGTAACCCATACTATCATTCCAATATACTTTGTACTCTGGTATTACTGTGTCCCATTAATTATCGTTGTTCCACCAAGTATCTGATATGCTGTTATATCAGTATCCTCATTTAATACCCGGCACGCCATTTCACCCATCTGAGTATTTAAACTTCTCTCATTTGTATACAAGCATTTATAAAACATATCACTTTTTAGCTGTCTGCCAAGTTGCATGAATGGGACACTTCTTCTTTCTCTTCATTTCCTACTTGTTCTTTATCAACTTCTGTCCTCTCCTTCTTAGTAGGGTATACAGAATCCTTATAAATTCTTCTTTGAGGAGTGTCTCTGCCTGAATCCTGTGCTCCTCTATACCTGTTAGCTTCCCTCCCTCCCCCCACCCTTTGTTTAAAAACTGTTCTACAACCTTTTTAACTTTACATGCCAGCAATCTAGCTCCATTTTGGTTTAGGTGGAACCCATCCTTCAGGTACATTGACTCCTGCTTTGCCCAAAGGCCCTCCAGTTCCTAATAAAACTTTTAAAAAACCCTCTTCTCACCATCATCTCATCAAAGCATTGAGACCCTGCACTTCTGCTTATCTTACTGGTGCTGTTCGTGGAAATGGAAGCATTTCAGAAAATGCTGTGGTCCTGGACTTCAGTCTCTAACCCATCACTGCACATTAGCCTGTGTAGAAGCCTTAAGAGATGAGACTTTACACCCATCAGGCAATTCACTTTATAATTCTCCTGATCATCACAAATCCAACTATCTGTATTTCCAGTGATTGACTCTCCCCTGGGAAGTTATCCTCAGTTTGAGAGTACCATAACATGAGCTGGACTGAAAGTCTCAAGTATGGGATCTGCTCTATTTTGTTGTTCTCCTTTCCCGAGACTTTAATCTTCTTCAGTAGCACCAAGGTTGCCAGACTTGACATGGGACCACTCTACTATGTACCAGAAAATCTCATTTTTTAATCTTTCCTTCTCCATTAGTTCCTCCAGTTGAGCCATGCTGGTCTCCAGAGCCTGTATTCGGTCTCTGAGGCCCGTGAGCTCATTGCCCTGTATGCACACATACACCACCAGTCCCTCAGGCAGGTAACTGTACATGCTACATTCAGTATAATAAACTGGATAACCCACTCTGCTGCTGGATTTTGCCTGAATTCTTTTTACTCCTGCAGCTTTTTATGTTGGAGTTTGCTTATCTCCTTTTTTTTCTTTTGAGGGTGGGGGGAGGAGTGGGATGGTATTTATTGCCCTAAGTTTAGAGAATGTTAATCAGGTATATCTAGCTCACTCATTCCCTTCCAAGACTGTTACCTGCTCCTTGTTCACTAACTTTTCTGGTGATGTAAGAGCTGTTTTTAAAGCCCCCTTTATCATGGAGTTAAGGGTTCAAGAGTGTTAAAGGATCAAAACCTTGTTAAGACATGCTCAGCCTTGCCTAGCAGGCCATTAAGCACATGGCACTTTGTAAGAATTTCTTTTTTATTTAGGCATTATCTCTGGAGTTAATGAGAGCACGGCCTTCTCTTGGTCCACATGTAACAGATGTGGCAATGACAAACTGGAGCATCATCCACAGGATAGGTAAGAATCAGTTTGGTGCTTACTGTACCAGGGCTTTTTTAGTGCAACCTTAAGAGGCAGATGTAGTACACACGTTCCTACAATACAGCCTATGCATGTATTCTCCTGGACAGCTACTTACTGTGAGGGTATGGGGGACAAAACTGCAGGATTTTTATTGCTGATGGAATGACACAACCAGTAAGGATAAAATTCGCCCATTGAGGAACACACAAATAGAGGCAAAGTGACATAAATTTGCAAAGATAGATTTTTTTTACCTCACACAAGTACTGATATAGTGTCAATGAACATGTCATGTACTTTACAGTGAACTATTTTAAGCTGTAAGAAACTTTTATTGTTTCTTGCATCCATTTATAAAGCCAGGTGCTTTAGTAACTGGGAATCCCATTGTTTTTCCTCTCACTCTTTACTGATATGTATTAGTTAATTTCTGAGACATTCCTATTAATACATTAATGTAAATGAGAGGAGAATCAGGCCTGTTTATAACCCTTATAAAATGACTTAATACAAATAGAAAGGTCACAGCTGTAAAGTCTGATTTCTCAGAATCTTCAGGGCACAAAGCAAGTGATATGTGTTCAGATGAAAGGGACATTGGTTCAGTATTGGCTCAGGAATATTCTCCCAATTGAATTATAAATGCTAGTTTCCACCACAAAATCTACCAACTGAATTACCAATGCCCCTTCCCAATAGAAAGTTCTTGTGAAGTTTCCCATTAAGTACTTGTCTAGCCTCGTCTTGAATAGTTTCAGTGACCTTGGTAAGATGTCAACATAAGACAATAAAGCTGGAGGCACAGTGTAAAGGAAGAAAAGAGGGGATCTTCTGGTGCCACAAAGTACATACAGAGTGATTTTGATTCCAGGTTCTGGTCATTTACAGTCAAAAGGATAAAGGAATGTTTACAACAATTTTTTAAAAATACAGTTTGTTCAGTGTTATATATAATTTCCCCTGAAAAACAGCACACAAAAACACAAAGATTTCCCTATATTTTGGTATGTTTTAAGTAGGGATGTCAACGAGTAGTCGACTAGACAATTAACTGATAAGTCTAGGTTTATTGGCTAATCTAGTCGACTACTCGCATTCCCCCTCGTTTCCGCAGTATCCAAGGCAGCGTGAAGGGGGGAGGAGCAGGAGCTGATGCTGAGGAAAGCCCGCTGCTTCATGGCAGCAGCCCTTGTCTGCGAGGGGTCCAAGCTCCCTAAGCTTGGGCCCGCCATTGACAGAGGCTGGTCCCCAGCAGCAGCCCCTGCCCTTGTGGGGGGGGAGGATGTCTGAGCTCCCCACAGACAGAGGCTGCTGGAAGAGCAGCCTCTGTCTGCGTGTAGCCTGGGCCTTCGCGGACAGAGGCTGCTTTGCAGCAACTTCCCCTGCCCTCTTTCCTCCCCCACCCCCAGCAGCCTCTGTCTGCAGGGAGCTTAGACCCCCCATGAATAGGGGCTGCTGCCATCCTGCACCAGCGTGGGATGGCAGCAGCCATTGTCCATGAGGGGAGCTGGTTTTTAAACTGGCTTCCCTTGCAGCCTGGCTCTTGCGTAGCACCCCGTGGACTCCCCGGGAGTGGGGCCAGAGTGCACTGGCTGCAGACCCCATCCCGGGGACTATAGAATAGTCAACCAACCACTAAAAATTAGTGTGGTTAGTTGACTATTCTATTACCTGCTATCTAACATCCCTAGTTTTAAGTATATGTAATTAGTAGTGCCCCGTGTATGTGTTTTCCAATGGTTTCCTCTAGTTTGAAGATTTTCCCTTTATTTAGCTAATAATTTAATGTAAACTTTATTCCACAACCACAATTCAGCAAAGTATTTAAGTACATGCTTACTTTCATCCCTGTGATAAGTTCCATTGAAGTCAATGAGACTTAAGCATGGGCTAAAAGTTAAGCAGCTGCTTGAACACTTCACTGAATTAGGCCAAAATCAGTACATCATTCGCGTGTTTGCCTTCTGATCTGATAAATGACATTTTATCTTTTTATCTGTCTCTTCATCACTATTCATGTGTTTCAGACGATCATATTACTGCAACCTATGCTCCCAAGCTGTAATTTTACCAGTTCTCAAAATGCACCTGGAAGTCTTTCTGCAATGTCCATCCCGACCTCATTGCACAGTAAAAGTAAAGGTGAGCTAAAACAATAAAAGTGCTAATTGTATCCAGTACATTGAGGGTAGGTATGTTGATTTATAGGTGCTTTGAGACGCAATTGTCTACAGAGCCCTGACTGAAGAAAAATTATAACTTTATTAATACAACAAAAAGAAAAATCCTAAAATTAATGTGGAGATTAAGGTTCTAATCCTGTAGCCCTTATTCAGGTAAAACACACCTTGAGCTCACTCAGAACTTCATCCCACAAAATGCTGAGGGCTTCCAACAACGTGCTGAGCATCATCAATTCCCATTGAAGAACTTGGCTGAATTGGGCCCTTTGATAGTAATGAGTCCTGGAAATGTAATGAAGCTTAAAGGAAATATGGATGGGGTGTTTTGACTTGCATCTTGATGTGCTTTTTGAAAATTGCCCTCAGACAGGGGTGGGCAATAATTTTTTATGGGGGGGGGGAACACTCCAAGAATTTAGAAAGTGATCAAAGGCCACACACTTCCATGATATTAATGGAAGAGATGTGGAGTCTGGGATGGAGGTTGAGTGCAGAAGGAGGCAGTTGTGGGTGAAGGAGGCAGTTGTGATCTGTGGCACTGGACTGGGGTGAAGGAGATTGGATTGTGACCTAGGGCAGGGCATTGGGGTACAGGAGGGGGTTCAGGGATTTGGATTGTGAGCTAGGGCAGGAAGGGACTCTGATCTGGGGCAGGGATTTGGGGTGCCGGATCTGGGCTGGGAAATGGCTACAGAGGGGAGCAGAGGATTTGGGTATGTGGAGTAGGGGGCAGAGTGACTGGGGTGCCAGAGGTAGGTTCTGCCAGTAGCCTTACCAGCCAGCAACAGTTCCTGAATCAGCCTCCCAGCCTGTCCTGCCCTAGCATAGGCTGCAGCCATGTGCTCTGGAGCCTCTTGGGTTTCATGGCTGCCTGTTATTGACACAGGCAGCTCCCATTGGCCAGTTTCTGACAGGCGGTTGGATTGTTCTGGGGGCAGAAGTAGCTCCTAAAGCTTCCCTCCTCCCCTCTGGACTCACAATTTTTAAAGAAAAACTCTCTCATATCTGTGTTTCTGAACAGCATGTAGGTGGGGTAAGGCAAGCGGGGAGCCTGCCTGGGGCAGCATGCAGTGTCTGTGGGCTGGATTCAGTGACTTGATGAGCCAGATTTGGCCCAGGCCTGCCATTATATAATTTGTTTTTTTTTTCAGTCAACTGAATTGTAAAATAAAGGACAATTCTAGACTCAAAATATTAATTTTCATTTTTAACATGGAAATGAATGTTACACATGTATATAATTTTTTTTGTCTGGTCCTTCCACTTTTTAACTGCAGCTGTTACAAAAAACAATTTCTTCTGTCCTGATGTCATCATCTACTGAGGATGGGGTAAGTATACGTAAAATTAAGATAAAGAAATTGAAATTTCCTGAGGTTTCATTTAGGGGCAGAATTCCATAGTGGACAATAGATATTCTGAGCTGTATGTGAAAACACTGGAACAAAGCATGCTAAGAGTACTTTGTTCTTGTATAGCATCTTTTATTTGGGAATCTGAAAATACTTAGGAAAAAATAGTCTTATTACTCCCATTTACAGAAACTTGTAAAATATATCATAAATTGTGTTTTATTGGAACCTAAATAAATCAAACCATAGATACATGAAACACAAGCAGCCATGACTTATAAGACATAATCATAAGTGATTACTCTCTTGATCTGAGATATTACCAGTATAGTCTTATTTGCTTGTTTTGTGTTTTATGTGGTATGTTTAGATGTCACTTATACAATACACTATTAATTTGGTATATAAGAAAATATATTAACTGTAAAGTTTTTCTTAAAATTATTTTATAGTAAATTGTTTCCTGCTTTTATTTTTGTAGATATAAGCTAGCAGGCATATGATTTACTGAAGACTGTTTTTAAAATGATTAATAATCTTCCTGCAGCTCTTGAAATACAAAGTGGATGTTTGATTCAGTACTTGTGTACACTATTGTAAAATGTCATTTGACACAAGCGTCTTTCCATTAATTATTTTTTGTTTGGAAAGTATGACAAAATAATTTAGTCCTTGTTTGAGTTATTGGAGTTCAACAAACAAAACCCAAAGAAACTCATTTTCATGAATTTTCTTAATATTTGTCAGTTTCCAGAATGATTATACCCAAAAACTTGCTGTTTGGAGGGGTTTTTATTCTGGTTGAAATCCAGTGATAACTTTTACCCCCTATACTCCATTAATTCATAAACTACAACATGATTTTCTTTAAAAAGCACATTTAAGGAAAGAGTATGAAAATATCACCTCAAATTGTTATTTTTGACAAAGTTAGTATGGGCTCCAAATAAAAATGTCTCTTCAAGAATACTCCAGTTTTCTAATCCTGGGTTTACCATCTTTCTATGTAACCTTGGGCATCACCTAACTTTTATACTGGGTTGTGTCCATGAAAGCTCAAGATACCATCTACATGTTTTGTCAGTCTTTGAGTTGCTACTAGACTATTTGTTGTTTTTTAAGTTTTTCCTGTTACAGACTAACTTGGCTACCCCTCTGAAGCTTTTATACTTCAGTTTACCACACTATAAAATGAATATAATAGTGCTTATCACACAGAAATGTTGAGTCACAAATTGGTATTAAGCTATATTGTGATACTTAAACAAAAAGCTATATAGAGTAGACTTCTGATAATCCAGCACCTTTGGGACCTAGGTGGTGCCTGAGTATTGGGAGGTACTCCGGCAGGGGGCTGTGACGAGTCTGCCAGGACTTTCACTGTGTCCAGGGGATGGGCGGGGAATAGCGCAGTGAGGGGCAAACCCTCCGCCGTTTTGCAGGAAGGCGGGGGGAGCCCCGCACAGCTGCGAGAGCTAAGTCCCCGAACTTGTCCCATTCTGGCTGCACTTAGCCCCATGCCACCACCGAGAGTTTCCGGGAGGGGAGCGGGCTTCCCACCCCCCAGATTGCAGTACTTATCGCCGAGCGGAGGGGTGAGGGGCAGCACTGCGGGACCAACCCAGCAGCACCCTAGCTGCTCTGCTCTGCCGCTTCCCCAAGTTCACCGCTCGTCAGTTTCAGCAGCAATGGCACTGCAGGACCAACCCGGCAGGACCCCAGCTGCTCTGCTCCACCACTTCCCCAAGTCCGCTGCTGCCACTACTGAAACTGACGTGTGGCGGACAAGCAGCATAGCAGAGCAGCTGGGGTGCTGCTGGGTTGGTCCCGCAGCGCTGCTTCTCACGCCCCTGCTTGGCGATAACTAGTGCAGCCTGGGGGGTGGGGAACCCGCTCCCCTCCTGGAAACTCTCAGCGGCAGCACGGGGCTGAGTGCAGCTGGAACGGGGCAAGTTTGGGGACTTAGCTCTCGCGGCTACACGGGGCTTCCCCCGCCTTTCTGCAAAACAGTAGAGGATTCCCCCTTGCCACGCCGTTCCCTGCCCACTCCCTGGCCAGAGGCAGTGTGGGTCCCAGCAGACCCATCACAGGGATATAATCCCCTTCCCCTCTTCTCTCCTTCCCTTTCCCTTTCCCAGCTGCGAGCGCCCATGGGGCTCACAGTAGCTTCAACTGTCCGGCTTGCTGGAACACTTCCGGGTTCCAGTTAGTGCTGGACCGCTGGATGCTGGACAATTGGAGTCTTACTGTAAATGCAAAATATTATAACCATGGGTAGAACAGTAAAGGAGATGTTTGTTTTTGTTTTTTTAAGGGTTAGTTTCAAATGGGAGTTTCTTCTTTGGCTACCTTCTTACAGAGCATGCGCGCACACATACAATTCCCTATCACATGCACAATCCTTGGGTATCCAAGAAAGCTATATAAAGAAACTATGCATTGGTGGACTGGATGCTAGATTTTAGTGGCTATTAAACTCTACTTCAGTAGGTATGACAGTGAGATCCATTCTAACTACAACTGCTGGGAGATGTTTTGTTTCTAAAATTACTGAAAATCTAATTTATCAGACTAAGTATGTTCTTTGTAGCAGCATTTCATAGTCTTAATTGGTTTGGCTTCCTTTTTGAGCAATAAAAATGTACACTGGAAGAGGACCTTACCCTCTCCTTTGAGTTGTGTGCTTACTAGAACAGAATGTACAGTACTGTTTGTTTAATCAACATGCCTTTATCACTACAGAGTTATGAGGTGAAGAGTGTGCTGGGAAAAGAGGTGGGGTTATTAAACTGCTACGTCCAGTCTGTTAGCAGCCATCCTAGCTGTGTTGGATTGGAAGAAATTATCCTACTGGAAGCAGGAAGAAAGTAAACTGAATGTTGTCAGCTACTATAATATCTATGGACTTTGTAATGTAATGTGGTTATTTGTTAACTATGCCCACAGAAAATGTAAAATGCAAGCATGATAAATACTGACATAGTTTATTAAAACAGATTTAGAAATTATTGTTAAACTTTAAAAAAACCAAGTATATTTACAAACACTGATTTTTCAGAACGTTTATATTGTATGGTTTTGATCAGTCCAGTATTTAAGAATATAATTCTTGAGACTGGTCTCTTGGCGTAAATGTTCAGGAATGTAAACCAACTTTTTCTGGAGGTTTGAATGTTTGTAAAGAATGTTTTTGTGATACTTTTATAGTGGGCGGTAAACATATTTTATTTGTGTCAAAAGAATAACTTTGTAAATGTTATTTGAGGAATAACGATTTTATCATGAATGGTGGACTGTGATTAAAGTGTATGTTTTATAATTTCCAGAAGCATTATGCACTGCACACCATTGATACTAAATTGTAATGTTATTAGCACACTGCAATAAATATTACAAATGCAGATTTTCATGAGCCTCATCTTACAGAAGTGACAAATGGTGTCAAAAGTATATGCAGCTAATGTTTTAGTCATTTCTAACTATACAAATACTGCAAAAACCACAAGGAGTCCTGTGGCACCTTAAAAACTAACAAATTTATTTGGGCATAATAACCTTTCATGGGTAAAAATCCAATGTGTCAGACGCAATCTGTTTTTACTCACAAAAGCTTATATGCCCAAATAAATTAGTCTAATGTACCACAGGACTCCTAATTGTTTTTGCAGATAGACTAACATGGCTATCCCTCTGAGACTTATAGAAATACTGTGGCATCTAACTTCCCATAAAGTGGTCGTTTCATTATATACTATGTGTAAGAAAAGAACAAACTGGTTAAGGGATGACTTAATTGTGCTGATAGCTATATGGGAGATAGATTGGTTATAACCAGGGCTCACTGAACTGCAGCGAGCCCCGCTCACCAACCACGCTGTCCAGCAATCTGCGCGTGCACAGATAGTTCTGCGCATGCGCAGATCGCCCGAACCGGCTCTTCCATGGCAGGTAGATTGTATAATTTGTCGAGCCCTGGTTATAACCATATCTGAGATTCTTATTTTCATTTGTATTCTGAACAAAATTTAATGTAAGACTAGACAAGTAACTGATTTCTTTGTCCTGTACAGCACAGAGCACATTGTCTGCACTTGATGAAAGATCAGTAGACCAGAGTTATGCAGTAATTGGTTTTGCATGCTGAAGTGTGTGCTATTGAACAAATAACTAAACTGTCTCCTAGTCATTTCTGGTGTCATGATTGATGATAGCACTCTTGAACGTTAATAAATAACTGAGCCTTTTGAGCCAACAAGTACCCTTCTTCCTTAGCGCTTTTACCTTGAGAAAAAAAAGCTACAAATGATGGGCTTCATCCATCAGATACTACCCAGGGCAATGCTTGCTGCTGTGAATAGTCAAACTGAAATCTATTTTCTGAATCTATTTTCTGCTGGTAAGCACTTCACCCTGGTAGTGTTTGCAGCATTATATCAAGTTTTCTACAGGCTGTTGCCACCCCCACTTATGCTGTAAGAGGAATACTTCTAGATTATGCACAAATTTAGGTGACTAAATTGACTTAAATATATGCAGTTATTTTCAATGGCAGCCCTCACTGTCAGAACTGCACAGCAAAGCTGATGAGTGTGTTGAGTATGATTTAAGAATACCAAAATGTGTCCCAACAAAAACCTGAAGATTCAGGTACTTGCAGCAATAATGTAAATAACATGTTTATTCCACCATGAATTCACCTTTCCTTCACAGCCTTAAAATTTTTTTGTACAACAGTACAACATGGGTTGACCTGATTTGGGGGTATTTTACAGCTGGAACTCTTAACTGTTGCCTTGAGGTTTTCACAGTTTAATAGCAAAACTTAGCTTCCCTTGTGTTTATCATGCTACTTGAGAACCATGGTAGTAGGAAATGGCCTACTTGTTAACACAGTTCAGCTTCTGGTGGAAAGTATTAGCTTGAACTGTTATAGCAATTACTGCCATAGTGGCAAAAAATAATTTTAATCTTAATACACAGTGTTGTCTCCATTTAATGTTTAAAACACTTAGTGCACTAAGAAATCCTAGTCATTTTTCTGATTTAATAATATTGAAAATGAAGTTTGTAAGAACATGTACTTAACACACGCTTACTACAGATTTTACTGATGAAATCACATGCTTATATTAATGCTATGAATGTTTGCAGCTCCTGAAAAGTAAGGCTCCATCTGTTGCATTTACTCTCACCAGTCTGGCTCCGAAGCCTAGGGTAAAGACATGAAGCAAAAGTGATTTAAAATGCTTTTTTTTTATTCTTAGAATTGCTGTAAAAATTGATATAAAATGTTGAGCATGCTCAGTCTTTCCTTCTGTTATCTACAGTATAAAGGGTTTTTGAATCATTTTTACAAAATGTACCATAGCTGCATCAATATGAATAAAATGTAGAAAAAGAACAAAAACTACAATTACAAAAATAAGTTAAGGAGAAAACCACAAAAGTTTAGCTCTTTTTTCCCTTTCTCTCTCTCTCTCTCTCTATATATATAGATAGATTTTTTTTTTGCAAGTTTGGCGGTTAAAGACCCAGGCTTAGTCCAATCTTGCTACAACATTCAAAAGAAACTGAAACCCAGCACAATTTCACTGTTCTGTGTCTTCCTCGCTCCCTTGCTGCCGCTTAGGGAGCAGACAGGAGTTGAGAAGCAGCAGCGGGCCCCCCCGAGGCACCGTTCCCGCTGCAGGTAGGCCAGTCCCGTCTCTGCAGCGCCGGCTGCTCTGTGCAGGTCTCTTGAGGTATTGGTAGGATAAGGCAGTGAGTCCCTGGCGCCCCTTGCCCAGGTTACCGGCAGTCGGTGCCCGAGCCAGGCTGCAAGAAGGACGCGCCAGGCAGCTGCTTGAAGAAATGCCTGAGGCTGGACAAGTCCTCTTGAGGTATTGGTAGGATAAGGCAGTGAGTCCCTGGCGCCCCTTGCCCAGGTTACCGGCAGTCGGTGCCCGAGCCAGGCTGCAAGAAGGACGCGCCAGGCAGCTGCTTGAAGAAATGCCTGAGGCTGGACAAGTCCCGGGTCAGCTGCTCGATCTTTTTGTGCAGCTTCTCGTTCTCGGCCGACAGCTCCAGCAACTTCTGCTGCATCTCCTGGTTGCGCCGCTTGGCCTTGTCGCGGCTCTTGCGCACGGCGATGTTGTTGCGCTCCCCGCGC